CCTGAACAGGTCGCCAATCCATCGCAGGGCTAACACATAAACGAACAACCACACACACGCACACACACACACACACACACACTCCTATGGGCAATTTAGAGACACCAATCAACCTAAGGTGCATGTCTTTGGACTGTGGGAGGAAGCCGGAGTACCCGGAGAGAACCCACGCAAGCACGGGAAGAACATGCAAACTCCACACAGAAAGGTCCCGGGTGGGGCCCGAACCCAGAACCTTCTCGCTGTGAGGCAACGGTGCTAACCACTTTGGTCATTAATAATTTACTTTAAATGTTAGTCACTGAAACATCTGAAGCAAATACTCAATATACAGGCAGAATTTTGATGCTGGTGACAGCAGACAGGTGTTGGCTAATTGTTTGTGTTTCAACCAAGGTGTAACCTCTGAGGCTGAGAAATGAAGCCAACACAGTAGTGTTAAAACCTAGATTTCCTTGAATGGCCACTGGCTCCAAAAGGCAACCAGTCCCCATAGAATCCAATATTAAAATACCCAACTTTAGAGAAGAAATGAACATGTTTACAGCCTGGTACAAAACAGTTTTTGTCTATATAGCTAATTTCCCCTTCCATAACAACTGTATTAGGGGTGAGTTTGTTTAGGTGAATTTTTTATATAAATCACTCCTTTTAAATTATATTTAGAGTAAAAGTTACTCATAATTAAGGGTGTGGACACTTTAAGTGACAGGCAGGAGGGTCCTACCACTGGTGGCTAGCTTCATTCAGCCCACCTCAGTTCTACTGACATGCCTCCTCTTTTCCCATTTTTTGATTAGCCATAGCATACACAGTGAAGCACTATCAATATGGCGGTGGCCAGACCTAGGCTTCAAAACCACTCATGAGGAAACCAGTGGGTGAGTCACGATGGGTTTGTCCACCTTTTATATACAGTCAGTGGATTTAACCCATGCTATCAAACTAATTGACACCACCAAATGAAAGCTTTTCCACTAAATTACAAGTTGAACTGTATATAAATGAAAAGCAGATGCTGACAATACAAAACTTTAAAAATCTAAATTTCCCCATGTTCTACTACCTGATTTCATATCTGTTGTCTTATTTTAACATTCTAACAGTTAAGAATACTTTATACAAGTTAAAAACTCTCAAAAGACACTAAGGTAAGGATAAGAACTGTGGATGATGGGATGCTCCTCCGTGATTTGTGCAGCTCGAGGTACTTCAAACTTCCATGTTTTATGCATGAGTCTGGATAACAAACAAGAGCTGGAGTTGAAAAGCAACCCTGAAAAGGAAAGAGGGGAGGTGGAGGAATCCTACCAGTTGGCAGAAATCAACACAGCAGTCTTCCCAAACAGTGAGAGAACATTTTTTAACATGTTCCCAGTAGTGCCATGTTCACAAAGGATACCTATAAAGACAGCAGGCTACATTTACTCTGCAATCCTTCCCCCAGCCTTCTCTCACGCCTCTGTCTCCCTCCTACCATTATGTCTCGCATACTGCCATGCTCCCTGTTAGGAGTATATGTGTTGATATGCCAATAATAGTTGACTGTAATCTGTAAACAATACAAAGTAATATTGTTGGAGGAATAAACTTAACTCAACCTAACCTCTAATAATGCCAAACACAAGCTGATCACCAATTGATCTACTGGACCTACGCTAATGTATTTAATTTCTTTACCCGCTGAGCCCCCCTGCTTCATCAGACAATCACCCTGGACTATTGGCTACTGTAGGAGCAGGCAGGCACCTGAGACACTGTCACCTTAGAGACGCAAGGCCCTAGGGAGAAAGCTTGCATCATTGAGGAGCCTTCAGGGCTACCACTGAATGTAGGACTGGCTGGAAACCTACATGCATGTTGGGTGTAGTGTTAAGGGTCCCAGGGAAGAGATGCCGGATTTTGTCAGACCTCTGCTACATTTAAATAGGGTGAATTATTTAATTTATATTTATATGGCTTAGAGCATTACGTTTGTTTTATTGAAACTTTACACCTATCAAAATTTAGAGAGAAAAAACCCTGCATTAAATCTGTGTTCCACTATCAAGCCCATTAATATCTATTTGTTGTGCAGCACAAGAACATATGTGCGCTGTGCGGGGCTGAGCATAATGCAAGGTCAAACATGCCTGTTTCATGTGAGTGTGGTGTGGACCCCAATTGCAGACACAAACCAGGAGGAGTAGGAGCTAAAGAAAGTGGTATAATGAACAACAACACAGGTAAGGCTGGGTGGTAGGAAGACGAGGACCCAGAAGGACCTGGGTGGCAGGAAGACAAGGACCCAGGGAGGAGACCAGGAGGGACAAGGCAGGAACGCAAGACAGACCAGGAGGAACCACGAGGGACGAGGAGACCAGGAGGAACCAAGAGGGACAAGGAGACAAGCAGGAGACCAAGAGGGACAAGCAGGAGACCAAGAGGCACGAGCAGGGGACCAGGAGGACGAAGAACCGGGAGGGACAAGCAGGAGACCAGAAGGACGAAGAACCGGGAGGGACGAGCAGGAGACCAGGAGGAGGAAGAACCAGGAGGGACGAGCAGGAGACCAGGAGGATGAAGAGCCAGGAACCAGGAGGGACGAGCAGGAGACCAGGAGGATGAAGAACCAGGAGGGATGAGCAGAACAAGGAGGGACGAGCAGGAGCAGACCAAGGAGGGACGAGCAGGTAAGCAGGCAGCAGCCAGGAGGACCAGGATGACAGGTGAGTTGACAGACAAGTACACAGGGTTGTGGCAGTAGTCAGACACACAGAGTAACAAGATCAGCAATCAGGGAACAGAAGGATCAAGAGCAGGGGACTGACGAACCTAACCAACAGAATGGGGAGCTTGCTGATTAACCAGATGCAGAGTTATCAGAGCTGCTGACATGCGAAAACAAACAAAAACAAGACGGGAACACGGAGCCGAACAGACTGAAAGCTCAGGACACGAACACATGTAATGCTAACCGGGTAGCGTAGCATAGCGTAGGGTAAAGGTAGCGTATCATAGCATAGCATACAGGTAAGTTAACAGTATGGTATGAACCAGCAAAAAGGCGGCGGAAGACAGGGTGTATACAGTGGGTACGGAAAGTATTCAGACCCCCTTAAATTTTTCACTCTTTGTTATATTGCAGCCATATGCTAAAATCATTTAAGT